GCAAGGCTTTCTCTGCAGGGTAGATACTCCTTGCCTTGGTGTAGATAAATTGCTTGTCTCAGGTAGAGGTCCCAGGACCTTTACTAGGCTGTGAGTAGGCATCTGACCTGGGATAGGACGGTTTTTTAGCACTCTCATTCCCTGTTCTTACTTGCCTAGCTCAGGGGTTGACAGCATTTTTAAAAAGAGTAAAGTCTCAAAAGAGATTATAATACGTATTTTAAAAGCCCAAAGTCTTAATAATGTCCTCTCATGACTTCCCATAACTACTTCTACTCTGTCTATACATTTAGCATCACTTTAAAAGAACTAGATAAAATTCAAACAAATTTTTAAGTGTTAATCTGAAGAAGAAGAAAAAGGAATAGAAAGAACTAGGAGCCAGAGTTGATTAAATGTGGACTGCTTAGTATAGTGATTATTTGGTGGTGGTGGTAATAGTGGCAGAAATGGCAAAAAGATTCATTGATGAGGTCAGGGAAAGCCTAGACTGTTCCTTTTGTCTGCTCAGATAAAATCTCCTAAAATATTTTGTGTCAGTTTCTGTTCTGAAGGTGCTGGCATGCTGGCACCTCCAGCCCTAGGCATCTTCAGTCTTTGACGAGAGCACACAGGATTTGAAGTCAGAAGGCTGGGTTTGAGTTCTGGATGAGCCACTCAGTATCCATGTGACCCTGGACAAATCACTGAGCCTCTCTGAACAGCACCTGTACAATGAGAATAACTCCTACCTCACAGAATTAGTGTGCGAATTACATATGTGCTAAAGCATTTTGTACATGAAAAAGCTTTTTATGAACATCACCCTTATTCTTGGGGAAGTCCCACCTTGAAAGTTATCAAATAGGATGGACAGCTGTGGATTAAACTGTCTTCCTTTTTTGTCACTCAGCTTAGCCTTCCTGTTTGGTCAGGCCTGCTTACAGGGGCTGGTAGTGTTGAAGTAGTCACCAGATTTCAGCTTCTTTTGGTCAAAGAAAGGGAACTCCCATGTCCAGCTGCTCCATCCATAGACTCATAGGCAGAATGGAAGTGAGCAAAGGCAAATTTTAAGCCAGGATAGTTCAGAGTTAGGGGGCTAAGGGGAGAATGCTTACCTTGCTTTCTCAAATCCAGGATGACTAAAACATCTTAAGTAAATGAGGAATAGCCACAAAGATGGCTCAGAGATCATTTAAGCCATGAATGGGAAGTGGAAAAATATGCTTATAAACTCTCCTTCTCTTCTATCCCTTTGACCTTTGGGGTCAGGGACAGGCATATTACTGATACCCACTGGATACTGCCTGAAACCTGCCAATCATCCAAAGAGAATAACAGCTTCTAGGAAAGTTCAGTTCAGTGCAGTCACTGTGAAATATTTACAGTAAAGCCACTGCTTGCTCCCCTCCAGAGCCTTTCTCTTGTGGAGATCATCTTTGGAACCCAAAGCTATCCTGTTTTCTAACCTAATAAGAGTTAAAAACAAGTCCTGAGCAGCAGGCTTAGTAATTATGTCATGCAGTCGTCAGCGACTGCCCCATCATCCATAGCACATAGGGCACGAATCACACTATCTCCAGTGTGAACCAGCCAGAAGTTCTGTTGTGTCAGCCACTTTACCTGGGTGGTAACTGTCCACTGTTGACCTCTTATCTCCATGCCCTTTCTGCATCTTCCCTTGCCACCTCCCAGGGGAGTACCAAGCCCCAAATCAAACAGCTGCCTACATGTTGATAATATAACTTTTTAATATTCCTTGGTTATAACTGAACCTCTGTTGGTATGATTTTTAAAGGATTTGATTGAAATCTAGTTGCTTTTTTTTGTTGGGGAGAGGAAGAATGACTAGAACGCTTATGCAGCCTGAGAGAAGCTATGTGTATGTCCGTATATGAGCACCTCGTGCATGTGTATCCTTAAGGTTGTGTGCAGGCTGACAGGGAGGGCAAAGAGGGGAAAGGAAACATCTCTTTCTTATTTTCTAACATTGCCTCAAAGATGCCCAACCCCCGTAGTAGCAGGCAGTTCCCAAGTGGAGGATGGGGGCAGAGGCCTCCACCAAGGCCATCAATAACCAGGTGTGAGCTACAGGTCTCTGTGTAATGTGAAGCTCTCCCGTATTTCATTTCTGCACCCAGGGGGCGGCTCTGCAGGATTGCTTACGGAGAGCTCTGTGTCTGGCACCTCTCTCCACAAGGCCCAGGCGCCCAGGGTCCCACCGACCTGCCCAGGAATGCATCACATTGTTCTCTGGTGCTGTAATTTGGCTGCAGGAGCTAGGCTGACTGCCTCCCAGGGATGAGAAACATACTCTCCCTGTTGTCCTCCCTTGGGCTTCTGCCCTATGACCACTGGGGGTATTTAAATAAAACCTCAGAAAGGCTGAGGAAAAAAATCTTGATTATCTCTCTTATATTAAGCGATGTAGAAACCAGTGTCCTGAGTGGGTCTGAGAATTTGGCAGAGGACTTAGTGGTTGATATCTTGCTAAGAGAGGTGAGAGAAAGGAGAAGAAATTACTCTCTGCAACAGGGAAGAAGAGAAATGAGACAGTGAGTGGTCATAAGTCAGACCTACAAGACTTTTTGCAAACAGACCCTCAGGGCCACGCAATGTTTGATTCTTAAATAATCTGAAGTCCCTGATTTCATTTTTCCAGCATCACTCTAAGGACGAGTATGGATTAGTGCTGTTATTCAAGGCTAGCAATAATACAAGTTGGCTCTTAACTGCAGGGCTAGGTTAAGGCTGGCATTCTTTTACATAAAAGAAACTGGCTACGGGCTGTGCAGCTGAGGTACTTCAGTCATGTGCCCTTTCTAAAAGACTCTTAAGATCCTTAAAGGATAGAGATAATGTTTTTTAAGTTAACTTTGTATCCAAATAGCACTTTCTGCCATGCATTATACCTAAATAATTAAAAGTTAAAAGAAATGAGGACCAAAAGGAAGGAGAGGAAGAAGAGGAGAGAAAGGCTAAGAGACTGCTGATCTGAGGGACAGACCTCTATTGAATAGGGAGGGATGGGAGAGAGAGATTAGCAGCAGTGAGTAGCAGCAGAACTAAATGGAGCCCTGACTGCACCAAATAAAGTTCTCACTTTGCTGCTTATTCCAAATAAATTAGTTTCTGTTTGTATAGTGCAGAATGGGTGCCAGTTGTCTAAAGGCAATCGGAACGCAGAGGCAAGCTAAGGAATAAGAGGAAAAATTAATTGCTTGGCCATCATTCCTTCTTGGGGCCAGATAGTCTCTGTAGTGGGGCTTACATGGACCTTTTCTCTCTCGCTATCCACCTCACTTTTCAAACCTCTCACTCTCTGGACAGCTTGCTCTTCTCTTAACGTTACATTTACAGGAAACTGCAAAACTTGGGTCTTTTTAAACTAGAATCTGGAACCCAGGGTAAAATGTGACATGCCAGAAGAGGCCCACTTCCTTCCACAGGGTGAGAACCCAAAAAGAATAGATAACAGAGCACAGGTAGATTTCACTCAGGTTGATTTCCCATGGAAGGCCTATGCTATCATTTATGTGGTAACTTGGATGTTCTTGTGAGAGCAGAAGCTAACAGGGACCTGAGGCTCTTTCCAGTGGCCCAGCATACAAGATAGCACCCTGTTGTAAATTCATTCAACTCTCTTCTGTGTTCAGACTGACTATGACCCCCTTACCTTCCCACTACCCTAGAGCTTTCCTCCTCTTAATCCAGCTCAAGCTGTCAGAAGCTCTTTTCTTTCCCTCCCATTTCCCCCTCCCTAATCCCACCATTGGCTCATCAGTTATCCAGTTGACTCCACTCTGCAAGGAAGACATTCCCTTGGCCTGACTCACTCAGTCGCATTTCTCCACAGGAATCCCCTCACCGCAGACCACAAGGGCCCTGACTAGCTCATGTTTTGTGTTAATGGATGTGAAACCGGAGCAAACCCCCTCACCAAAAGAAAAACCACCCTAAACTCTCCCACACAGGTCTCAGCAGGTTACACAAATATTAGTCCTATCATCCAAATAAATCTGCCCCCATGGCCCAGAGCTATGGCTCCCCCATCCTTCTGCTGCCTGTGCAGAGTGAAGCTGCCCCACAAACATGTGAGGACCTCAAGGGATGTTGGAGAGGAACTTGGGAAAGGAGGAGGGGCACTATATTCAGAATTCCTTGTGTAGGCCCCTTAATCTACAGCCTGCTATCAATACTTTATAGTCCTGAATTAAAGGTTCCAAGAGAAGTCATGATGGACCAGACCAGGGGCTTTGGTAGTAGTGTCTGTTGGCTGGAGTTTGGGGCATAATTAAAACTCAGTATCTGAAATAGGTTCATACCCTCATTTTACAGATTAGAAGATAGAGGCTCAGAGAATTTGGGTATCTTGCTCAAAATATCAAAAACAGTTAAGTGGCACAGCTGTGATTTTAACCCAGGTCTGTCATAACTGCAAATTTCTATACCACTCTGCTCCTTTAAAATATCAACAGGCAAGAGATGACCACTGTCCAAGTCACATAAAAATAGGACCTCACAGTTTTGGGGACTCCATGTTCTACCCTCTAATTTACAAAGGCTGCTATCTCTGGAGACTACACTACTGCAAGCTCAATTAGACAGTGGCTAGTAGCATTGAAGGAACTCCCTTATTTAAGCCAAATGTGAGTGAACAATAATAATCACCAGGACTTGGAGAGTCACTAAATAAAGATTTGTTGAATAAATGGGGAAAGGCTGCCTTCTAAGCTATTTACCACTTTGGCCCCAAGCCCCAGCTCTCCTTCCCTTTGTAGACACTGACTCCCGCTCCCAGCTTCAAAGGCTAGGATCCTCTCCTAAAAATTGCCAAATCCCGAGATCCCTACCTACCTATATATACTGAGTCCTCATGTGGGCCCTTGAGATCAGGCCTACTACCCTCTCCCACCCTCCATGAGTCGCATGTCTTTTACTCAGTGTTTCCCAAACCTGGCTGACCACCAAAACAATGTGTGGAAAGTTTAAAAAAATAAAATCCCAAGGCCTAGGCAGACTTACTAAATTATTCTTTCTCAGGAGTGTTCCAGGGTATTCTAATGATTGGTTAGACATGGGAACCATTGCATGCCACTCAGTTTGAACAGGTAGCAAGTGAGCAAAAATGGCAGTGCTGTCTGATAAAAGTTGAAAAGGAGAAAGATTGGAAGAGAATGTATGTTTATATAGTTATATAATTTTTTCCCCTACAAAACACAGCAGTTTATAAACATATGAACATGTGAATGGAACCTTGTCCACTATAGCTAACTCTTGTCTAGCAATCCCAGGCTCTGGATAATGAAAGAATGTTGTAGTCTGAGACTTTCTTTTGGGGTACCAGGCAGTCTGCTCAAACTGACTCAGGGAAGAGATATATGGTTTCATCTCTGTCCCATCTACCCTCAACCAAGTAAGAACAAGAAGAAGCTCTCTCCAAGTACCCTTCCTCTTGCACAGACAAGAAGTGTCAGGAAGCCAGTGCAAGGGAAAGGAAAAATGAGCGTTGACCATGCTTTAGTGCAACTCATATCACTCTGAAGACCCCTACCTCTTCCACTCTCCCTTCTAACCTCCAGAGGGGGATGTCAGGGAGCCGCTCAGTTTCTTACATCCCCTGTCAGCTCCTTCCCAGGGCTAAGGAACCAGCCAGGACACGAGAGTCCCTCTGGATCACTTTCCAAGTGCTTAAATAGAAGCTCTAGCAGCCCGGGGTTGAGGGTGGAGGAAGGTGTGCATGCAAAGATCTTGTGCTTTTGAGTCAGGAGATTTGAAGTGGAGGGATGAGTCAGGTATCTATATGTTCAGGTCTGGTCCAGCCACTCTGCCTTCTTGGGGGCCTTGCAAGTATGGACGTCCACAGTGTTTCTGCACTCCTTGCACCGCACAGCACAGCACCAGTGGAATTTGCACTCACACTGGGTGACACGGGTGACTCGAGTTGTGTCGTATCCTCGGCCACAACACATGATTTCACAACCATCTGTCCCTTTAGATGTCTTGCTGCAAACGCGGCCTGCAGTGCCTAGGGAACCTGGGTTGGGGAAGAGAGAGAGAAAGAACCAAGTTACCTTTTACTTCAGCTGCTCTGGGTTGCCTTACCCACATCCTCATGAGGAAACCATAAGAATCCCTTGTCCTAAAAATATACCCACTAGCCAAAATGATCATCTCCTCCCTGCCCTCTGCACCAGACTTGTTTCTTCCCACCATCAAGCCTCCCCAAAGACCATTGACTTCACCTGCAGTGCTCTCCCTGCCAACAGACATCTCCATATCCCCTTCAAAGCCTAGCTTTTTGTTTGTTTGTTTGTTTATTTATTTTTCCCCCAAAGCCCCAGTAGATAGTTGTAGGTCATAGCTGCACATCCTTCTAGTTGCTGTATGTGGGACGTGGCCTCAGCATGGGCGGAGAAGCGGTGCGTCGGTGCGCGCCCGGGATCCGAACCTGGGCCACCAGTAGCGGAGCGCACGCACTTAACCGCTAAGCCACGGGGCCAGCACATAAACCCCAGCCTTAAAATGTTCATAATTGTTAAAACTGGGTGAGGGCTCTCTATTTATGTTTGAAATTTTCCATAATAAAAAGTTTAAAAAAAAACAGCCTATAATTTATCCTTTCCAAGAAGTCTTGCCGCAACTCTGATCCTGCTACCATTTGTTAGTCTTTTGGTACTTAGTTTGTATTTTATTAAGTTGTACAATACAGGGAAGTAGTATAACATGGCCACTAAAAACATGGACCTGACGTCAGATTGTCTATGTTTAAATCCCAGTTCTGCCACTTCTTAGCTGTGTGATTTAGCAACTTAGTTAATCTCTTTGGGCTTTAGTTTTCTCATATGAAAAGAGGCATAATAATAGCATCTAACTCAGTGGATTGTTATATCTGTAATCTCTGTTCAGCTGAGGTGAACTGATTAGCATGGCTGGCTGGAGGCATACCCCTAAGGAATTCCTAATGAATATCCCATTGTCTTATCCTTTACAGTGGGAACTCTTGAAGGGTAGTGATCATGTTATCCCCTTGCTTAGAGAACGCTCAGGACCTCATTCTGACTGATTTTAGCAAAAGAGATTCTGCCAACAGATCATAAAATCATAGAATTTTGGGTGGGATGGATCCTAAGAGAGTATCTACTCCAACCCTTTTCCAGAGATGGGAAAGTGACTAGCCCGGGGGGTTGCAGAAGGGGGAATAGATTAACTGATTTCTATAGCAGTAGTCTCCACATTCCTGGGATATGGGAAGAAAATGCTAGAACTTCTATATTTTTTATCTCATCAATTTAAAATATCTATTTCATATGTATGTTTTATAATATACATATTAGTACAATGGAACATAGATATAATTTATTAAGTAAATATACATATATTGGAGGTACATGCTCAAATTTTTTTTAATGATAGGAGTATATAATCCAAAATATTAGGAGACCACTGCTCTAAGAGTGTGGGCTGACTAGGTCTACTATATATGTTATTTTCCTAACTCCAAGGGCTGGTCTTAAGTCCTTCTCTTGAGCACCAAAAGACTCTTCTACACTCTGGAGCTGAGCTGTCCAGTGTGGTAGCCACTAGCCACATGTGGTCATTTATATTTAAATTAATTAAAATTAAATAAAATTTAAAACTTAGTTTCTTGGTCACACTAGATATATTTTAAATACTCAATAATCTCATGTGGCTAAGTGGCTACCGTATTGGAGAGCACAGATGTAGAACATTTCTATCATCACAAAGTTCAACTGGACGGTACTGCGTTGGAGGGAATTCCTGGCTCCATACTCCCTTCTGGGACAACTTTGAATTCCAGGCCCCACTTTGGATTTTATGAGACCTAATTTATGCCTCTGAGAAAAACCAACACACATATGACTCATCCTCCCTCCTAACTCCAAAGATCCTTCCCCAAAGGTGCATTTTAGGTATGGTAGCATAGGCTTACATTTTGCATGTTATGGAATTATTTCCAGGCATTTGGAGAGTAGCCCTCTGAATTATACCACATGGGAAGAAAACATTCCTAGTGGCAGGAAATCACTAGGAGAATCAGAAGGGCTCTCTTAACCTTTTCTCTCCTAGCACCCTTCAAAGTACACAAACTACTTTTTCTGTTACTTGGGTGGAGCTCCACCCTGTTTCTGTGCCCAGTTTTGCTCTGAGCCACTTGACTCTCCAGGAACGACAGTGATGGGTGAAAACAAACACTACCAAAGACAGCTGAGGTTTTTGGCTCCACCTCCCTCAAGTCCTGATTGCTGAGTCTGCATAGAAGAGCCTGGGAGCCCACAACAGTAACCAGGAGAAGAGCAGTTCTGTTGCATTGCATGTTGTTCCTAGTTTAACCTATCTGAACCTGAAATACAAGCCAAGCTGGTAATTTCCACTCTTTTGGGAGAATACCATATCACCTGCCAGCATCCCCAAGAATTCCACCACAAATATCTGTAATAGATAGAAAAACAACGATTTGCTGCTTTCTGCCAATGGTTAGCCTTTGGTAGAGACTGCCTCTTTCCTTGCTTCCCCAACTCCACTTTAGAATTTTCAATGGCAGCATGCTGGATAAAGCCTTTCAGTCATTCACGGTCTAGTCCCAACCTATCTTTCTACCTTTAATCTCCCTTACTCAAAACCTTCACTCGGGGGGCCGGCCTGGTGGCGCAAGCGGTTAAGTGTGTGCGCTCTGGCAGCCCAGGGTTCGCCGGTTCGGATCCCGGGCGCACACTGACGCACCGCTTGACAAGATATACTGTGGCGGCGTCCTATATAAAGAGGAGGAAGATGGGCATGGATGTTAGCCCAGGGCCAGTCTTCCTCAGCAAAAAGAGGAGGATTGGCAGATGTTAGCTCAGGGTCGATCTTCCTCACCAAAAAAAATGAAAAACAAACAAAAAAAAAACTTTCACTCAGTCAGATTAATCTGCTGTCTGTAATCTGCTGTCTGTTCCTGGAACAGATCATGTGCTTTCCCATCAACACTCTGCTTGTGTGTAGAGAATATCTGCCTGTTCTCTCTGGCTGTCCAGGTAATCCCCACACTTCAAGAAACAGCTTAAATTCCACAATTTCAAATAAACTGTTCTTGATTTCTCTAGTCATCTCTCTTTTACAGTTGCATTGTCTACTTGTTACATCTCATTTTTGTAGCTAGATTGTAAAGTGCTGAAGACTTGGGGCTGCATCTTATGCTTCTGTGTAGCCCAGACATTGTGTTGTACTGAAAATGGGTGACTCATTTAAACATTCACTGAGTAGTACCTACGCAGATCCTAGATGCTGGGGATACATACAGGAGTGATAGATGACCTCAGGCCTCAAGTAGCTGAGTGACCTTGCCTTTCTGCTTGGGCAGCATTGGGCCTGGCAGATTGAGGCATAAATCAGCCATCTCATTACAAGGTTTTCCTGTCGGGAGGAGACTGACTCCTCCCACAGCAACCCCTTCCCTAAATCCTGAGGCTGAAAAGACCGTGATCAACCAGGGGTGCCTGCACTAAGAACTGGGGCTCCATATCCCTACCTTTCCTGCTTTCCTTACTCACCTGCAGCCTTGTCCAAGACACAGTAGTCTGGGGAGTTATCAAAGTAGACAAGGTCAGTCCGGGTGGCACGACGATAGCCTTGGCGGGCTGCTGTGAAGTTGGCGCCATCCTGAGTGGCTGTCACCTGCACAGCCCCATCATAACGTCGCCGCAGGTAATCACCTGTGCGGCGGAAGTCTGAGAGTGCACGCCAGCAGGTGCGCAGAGTACAGGAGCCACTCACGCCATGGCACTTACACTCCAGCTTCAGAAACCGCCGCACAGCCTGGGAGATGGGGAGGCAGGTAAGGGAGAGGCAGCCAGTCAAGGCACTTTTTAGTCATCCCTAGGACTAAAAACATGAGTGCTCTGAGGTCTGCTGGACCAGGCCCTGGCTGGCTAGTGGAGCCATTGGTTGTTCTCTCCTCCATCAGATCCCACCCATTCTTCTTGATCAAATTCAAGAAACTCTTCTTCCAGGAAACCTTCCTGGACCAACAGTGCTTTCTTTTTCATGATGGCTCATCTGAACTTTAGAGCCACAGGATTCTGTTCATGATTACAGTATGCTGGCACATCCTCTAGTTTTCATGTGTTTTAGAGTTTAAGTTACCATGCCTTCTATTTTTGTAGCATGTCATTTTCCAGCACAGTACTAGGCACATAGGAGGTGCTCAAATGCCAGTGAACTGACTATAACAAGTTCTTATCCTCCTCAGTCCTGATGGAGGTGGTTCTTTTCCTTCTTAAAAAGTTATTTCCCCTCTTTTCTCCACATTTCCCTACTTGCCACCTATGTGAAGACTCTTTATGCACCTGGATGAACCTAGACATTCCCAAGCTCCCTTGCATTTACTGCTCCTGTCCAGGGGGTTGAGACTTTTGGAATTGATCCACAAGCCTTCAGCACTTCCACCTTCACATTTGGTTCATGATCACATGTACTGGTCACCCCCAGCAAATATGAATGTACGTACACAGACGTGAGTACTAACCGTGCGACCACAGCGGTTGTTATGTAAGTTCATAAGGGCCCGAGCATCCTTCAGCCTCTTCTCCTTGGCATCCACAAAGGCCTTGGCAAAGCGAACACCATAGTGGATGTTGTCACTACAGCCACCCCAGTCAAAGTCCCCACGTTGGTCATGGTGTCGGCCACGGGTGTAGGGGTCACAGCTGCACACACTTAGTTCACCCTGGCTACAGGCACGAGTGATAGCGTGGACCACCCCTGCTGACGAGATGGCATATACAAATGCTGCCTCCCGGCTACCTAGAGAGAGAAAGGTGGAAGAGTGTTTCAGGAAGGGGGCCCATGTCTGTCCCCTTCTTCAGCCCACACAACCTCTGACTCTGAAACCTCCTCTCTTCTCCTTTTCCTTCCCAGAGCAACCCCTGCTCCCTTTATTCAAGATGTCCTTCCCTTCCAAGAGTATCTGACATTTCCCCTCAGCCCTCAGTACTCTCTATCTACTTCTTTGTACATCTGACCTCTTGGGCTGACCTGTACTCTTGCTTCCTTCCAAACTCCCTGGGTCCATCCATTGAAAAGTTTCACAGTGAATCATCCCCTCCCACTAAGCGCCAACACTGGCTCAGCTAAGCTTGCCTTAGTCCACATTCTAGGCCTTTTCAGGCCCACTCTGCTGGACAGTTCCCCTACATCAGAGACCCCAGGCCAGGGGTCAGCCTGTTTGGAGAGACATGCTACTTTCTCCTGCCTGCTTCCTTCCCTCTCTGCTCTCAGGGATTGATGAATCATCACTCCTGTCCCCCTGACACCTCCAGATGCCCATCTCATTCCCTTTCTCCTAGTTTACTGTCTAGCTCTGCTTAGCTTTTTTGCTGAGCTGGGGCCAAGCTGCTGACTCTCCAAATATTTACATATCACCTTTCTGTTTATTCCTTGCTCCCATTACTGGAGTGTTGGGAGTGTTGGGGTGAGGGTAGTGATGCTGTTGGTAAGAACAGAGCAGCCATTCCTAGTCCTCAGCCTTACAGTGCATGGAAACCCGCAGGCTGGGGATTGGGGAGGGAAGAGAAAGAGAGGAAGAAAGATGGAGGTACTAGGAAATGCTGTTCCTTTGTCCCACCATCCCAGAACACTGGGGATTACAGGGGCCTCTGCCTACATATCTAAGGTACTGAGGGTCTGCTCCCAACTGTATCCTGGGCTCTGCTCATAATTGTTTCTCTGATTATGAAGAGTGTGTAGGAGAGGGGAAAGGGGATCATGCCTACCCTACCACTCACCACCCCAAGCATAGAAAGAGAAGGAGCTGGGGCAGGGTGGAAGAGGCCCCTACTTCTGAGCATGACACGGCCAAAGACAGTGTGGTCCCGGTCCAGCGTGGTGCAGTTCCAGCGGTGGTGGCGGAACTGGTGCTGACACTCTCGGATCCATTCTCGGGCCCCCTCGCCCACTGAGCGCATGATGTCTGGGTAACGCTGGCACAGCTGCCGCTGCCGGCTCACCAGACCAGGGATATTGTCACAGATCACTCGGGCCCCCAGTGCCCCGATGTACCTGCAAGGTGGAGATGGCCCTGTCAGAGCATCCTGGCCCTTTTTCTGCATCAGGAGGGGAATAAGGAGGGGAAAGGTTTGGCACTCAGACCTTGGAGAGGTTCCTTCCCCTTCCCCCAATCCACATTCCCTGAGGCCCATGGGTAGAACCGTTCCCCACAAGCTCTGGAGAAATAGTTACGCAGTTGCAGAGAGAGTAATTAAATGGTCTCCCTCCATCACCAGTTCCCCAGCCAAACACCAAAGTGACATACACTCCCAGAACACAGGCCAGGCATGTGTCACATACACAGAAACTGTGGGCATGTCACACAAACCCATTGCCTGTTTATTTAATAAACATTAAGAGCCTCATGGAAAAATAAACTAACAAAACGAGAATCTGAGACAACACTCTTACACTGCATATAAGAGGCACATCCTGCATGGCTGGTCCATGAAGACATGGTTTAGGGGAAGAAGGATGGAGACAGGGAGGGGCCAGTGGGAAGAGACATAGTGGGCAGTTTTGAGTAATGTTTACAGCTCTAGTCAGATCCATGTAGCTAAAAATCCTCACTCCCAATTCTGAGGTCTGGGGAGGAAGACCCCACCCTCACCTCTCCTCCCCATACCGTTTATTTCCAGGCCCCTTTATTTCCAGGGGCCTTTCTTAACTAATGAGTCTTTCAAGATCATCTTCCCCAACCTATAGGGCATGATGTCCTTTATGGACCTGCATGGGCAGAAGGCTGTTTGCAGTGGGTAGCCAAAGGCCAAGATAAAGCAACAGGGTGACACGCTCCATATTCCAGTCCCCAAGCTGCCCAGTATGAACAATTATAAGAGCAATTGAGGTGGCCTACTAAAAGACAGGTGGGTTGCTAGAGTCATTCTCAAATTTCTCAAGGCAATATTTTCTCTTCATTCAAACACTCTTAGTCCTGGACTCCACTACAAGCCTCAGGAAGAACACTTCAGAGAGAAGACAGGCATGCATCACCACCTTTCTCCCCACAAAGCCCCCAAATGAGATCTGACCCCTTCACCCACTTCTCACTCCCTTTCTAGCTCTCCAGCACCCAGTACCTTCCTTGATTTGCTGGGAATTCTCTGTTTTCCTGTCCTAATATTTCAAAGGGACACCTTCTCTCCCTTTTTCTGTACAGGTGGGGGCCAAGGAGGGCAGTTGCTGCTATAGACAGAAAAGATTTGGTTTGGGCTGTGAATGAGCCTGTGGTTTGGGAAAGGCCCCAAAATGGGTCTAGAAGTGGGTGAGGAGAAGGGGGGGTGGTCAGTGGGGAGAGGGGAAAAGCTGGACTGCCCCTGGCTCTATGTCCCCCACGGCTCCCTCGTCGCCCTGAATTTTCACACTTGGCCCTCACCCACAGACTGGATCACTACTGGTGACACCAACTCAAACAAACAAGGAGGGCTATGCTTGCCTCTTCTGGAACTCAGCAGGGCTGATGGGGCCCATCTGTCCCGGGGGAGGGATGAGAGGGCTGGCCCGCCACTAACAAATCCCATGGAATCAGCGTCCCCAGCACTGTCTATCAGGGCAACAGCTTCCAGGAATAAACAAAATAAACACCCTGGGCTGGGCCAGGCCGGAAAGGGCTGCTTGACGCACAGCCTGGAGTTACACCCACTGCCGCGGTGCTTTGTTTGGGGAATCAAGACCGTTGGAGTTGGAGCTTGTCCCTGTCTCACCACCGTTCTGCTTCCCCAGTTCAGCCTTGAGTACTGCTTTAGGCAATGGGTGTTTGTTTTTTCAACTGGGGCTTGGGAAGAGGGGGGTTGGATGGGAATGGGAGACCAGTAATCCAGCCCTCATGAGACAGTCTGGAGTGGAGCAGGCCAAACTCTGGCAAACAGTCCTTCCTGTGGTCTGACTTAAATCCACTCTGCTGCAGCCCACATCGGTCCTTCTTGTTACATCCTCACTGAGCGTGGGAACATCTGTTCAGTATCTAAGACAGAAGGATAATTTTCTCTACTACCACACTAAATAACTGCTTCAAGATTCTGCAGAGCAGGGTGCTTGCCTGCTGACCAGTGGTCAGCCCCTTGTAGTCAATTTAGGGGCCTCCAATAAAACTGAGCCTGCACCTGGTCCATCCCCCTCTCAATTCAACACATGCCTGCAAAATGTCTACCATGTGCCAAGCACTGAACTGAGCTGTGAGGGGCACAAAGATGTCTAAAGCATCTCCAGCTCATGGACTGGTAGAGGGCGTGAGATGCCCCTGCCTCTCCAGCTCTGTTTTCCCCTCCAGAAGTTTTCGCTTCATTCCCAGCTTCCTGCCCCAGAATGTTCTCTTCACCTACTTTTGACCCATTCACATCCCTTCCTTTGACAAAGTGACTCATACCCTACTCTAGCCCCTTGCTGCTGAAAGTGTGGTCCCCAGAACCACAGTATCGGCAGCACCTGGGGATCTGTTAGAAATGCAGAGTCTCAGGCCCCATCCCAGGCCTACTGAATCAGAATCTACATTTTACTAACATCCCCAGGTGATTCCGATGCACTGCTCCATGAAGGCAGGGAATTTTGTCTGTTTCCTTCACTTTAATATCCCCAGTACCTAGAACAGTGTCTGGCACATAGTAGGTAGTTAATAACTATTTGTTGAATAAACACCTAATTGCTCTGATTTACCCCCAATTCCCTTCTCCTCCTAGCCAGCCACAAACTTCATTTCAGTTACAGCTTTACTCCTGTTGACGTTGCCAGCCTATTTGCAGATGTTTTATGTTCGTTTTTTTTTTTTTTAAAGATTTTATTTATTTTATTTTTTTGCCCCCAAAGCCCCAGCAGACAGTTGTATGTCATAGCTGCACACCCTTCCAGCCGCTGTACGTGGGACTCGGCCCCAGGATGGACAGAGAAGCGGTGCCTCAACGCGCACCCGGGATCCGAACCCGGGCCGCCAGCATCGCAGCACGCGCACTCAACCACCAAGCCACAGGGCCGGCCCATTTGTTTTTTTTTTTTTGTTTTTTTTTTAATAAGGCCAGGGATCCTCTTTTTATTTGGCCCCTTTCTTTTACAGCCCCTAGTACATGATTCAGCCCAGCCCATCCAGGGCTTTGAACTCAGGGATAAAACTATTACCCTCCCTTGATCTCTTAATACAACATCATTTATATGGTACTTTACAGTTCACAAAACATTTTTCTACAGAAAAATCCTATGAGAAAAAGAGAGATTTCCATTTTACAGGTGAAGAAACTGAAGTTGAGGGAGATTAAGTGATAATACCCAGCTCTGTCCATCAGAGCTAGTCAGAGGAGAACTGGGTAAACCAAGGACATCTTACTCCGAGGTCCAAGCTCATTTTCATTCCAAGGGCGAGCGAGCCACACAATGCTTAACCAGGAGTAGACCAATGTGGCTCCAAAACTGGTGTGAATTTGAGTTTCTTACTACTCCCCTCCTATCGCTCTCTTTCTTCATGCATAAAATGGGGATAATAATAGTATCTACCTCACTGGATTATTTTGGGGATTGAAGAAGATGATGCTCATAAGTGCTTAGCCACGGTGTCTGGAGCTGAGTAAGAGCTCATTAAATGGCAGCTGTAGTTGGGAACAATAATGCTAATATTATGATACCACTCTGTTCCTCTCCCTTTGTGAATCCATGCATCTTGTGATTCCCTACATCCAACCCCCTGCAGAATGCAAAATGGAACAGGGAAGCACAAGCAAGGAGCCCCCTCTTTCTTGTTCTGTTTGTCATATGTTACAAAGAGACCATCCATTTCCTTCTCCAGTTAAAGGTAGGGAGAGGGAATGTGTGTTTGGAGAGTAAGGGGAAGGGCTGTGAGCAAGATGACACTGTTAGCTGGTGATAGTGATGACCTTCTGCTCCACAATGGAACATGGACACACACAGAAGTCAACAGGCATCTTTTCCAGGGGTTGTACAGAATATCAATCTTGCTGGGTTTTTTCCTAAGGGAAAGAGAGATAATCACCTTGGGGGCCTGACTTGCCTTTAGAAAGCAGCTTTCCACTTTATCTCAGAAGTGATGACCACTGAGGCAGGCACCTGGTGGCTGCCGCTATGACAGGTGTGAGGCAAGGAGATTGAGATCACTTCTGCACTCACTCCCCATCCTGGTCCTGTTGCTGCCTTTCTCCATTTCACAGGGACTGCTGAATCCCTCTGTATACCCGCCTGCCTGCTTTCTTCACTAGATCTTCCACCCAGGAGTTTTTCCAAAATCTTTAATATGAACCACGTTGGGGGAGAGAGGTAGAGGGAAAAAGGAAAAGGAAGGAGTAATCAAGGGGACAAAATGGGGACTAGGAAGAACCCCAGTTGGGTCTACCAGGATGCTGAAATTACCAGAGTGACACTTGCTCACCTAAACACCAAGTGGTCCCCAAGACTACCTCCTGAACTGGTAAGAAGCAGTCAAGAACCCCTAAAAGCAAATTGCCATCAGAGATGGATAAGGATGTGCAGTGGTCACTTCATCCTCTTTCTACAGGGCCACTGAAGATGCAAGCCCCCAACCAAACTGAGCCCTTGAAGGTAAAGGTGGCTTTGATCTTACTCTGAACTTTGAAAGGCTTTTCTCCTTGTCCCCCTTCTTCCCTTTCCCTTTCTAAAGGAATGTTTCAAGCCAGATGTAAGATATGGGCCTCCCTGCTTCCCCATCCAGAACCCCCCTCCTTGCCTTCCCCAACACTGGAGAGATAAAAAAGATCCAAAAGAGAGATTTTTCTGAAACAGGAAAACGAGGTGGGGGTGGGGGGTGGGATATGGAGAGAAACGCATCTTGAAATGATAGGAATCTGCAGCCCAAGCTTGCTGGCCCCTCAGCCAGCTACCCCTCACCCTTCCAGCCAAGATTCCAAGTCAAGAGAAGAAAAGGCACAGGGTGCAAGGGGGGAAGTGAGCACACTTGGTGGTGGGAGTGGGGGTGAGGAGGTGGGGAGCAGAGTAAGGAAAGGAAGGGGGTGGCTGCATGAGTAGAGAGGGTAATTGCCCAGTCCAAGAGGCCAGTTTGATTGGGGGGGTGAAAGGAAAGATGAGAAGACTGAGTTTTTTTCTCAGTCCAACTCTCCAGCTGCCCTGCCCCCCAGAAGGTGGGGGTGGGGGAGAGCAGCTCTTTCTCCTGAGAGAAAAAGATAAGTGCCATCCAAGGCTTGAGGGGAGGGGGGATTCAGAAAAGAACAGATATCCAGTGGATTTTTAATGCCTTTTGCCTCATCTGCCCTCTTATGAAGTGTCTGGAGTCTAAGGCCTGCAAGAAGTCTGAGGAAAGGGTCTCAATACTTTGGGACTCCAGAAACCTCTAGTTCTTGGAGGGGAGAGATGGGGTCATCTGGGGAAGAAAAAGGAGGAAGAAGGGAGGGACATATCAAGGTTTGAAGTGACATCTTGAAAACTGAGGCTGAAGACAAATGCCTAAATTATGCAAACCCAAGTGTTTTGTTTGTTTTAATTGTGAGAGTTAATGGGGTAGTTTTTGCCTGGGTTCCATTTCTAAACCTTGCGCTGGGTGCTGCTGACTAACCAAAGCCTTACTGCATTACCGGGCCGGGTAGACTGGCGAGAGCCTTGTCCGCCCTTGCCAGCTGTCCCTTTCTCCACACCTTAGGGGATCGGGGGTCCTGTTGGACGGCCACTGAAGGCCCCAGATGGGTGATTGGTTCCCTAACTCCACCCTGAGAGAAACTCGGAAGGTAGCTTTTGCCCTAAGAGGATTGAGCACAGCATATGGGGGTCTGGGAAGCTTCAACCACCGGGCACCCTTGCTCCAAATACCCAGCGCCCACCTCACCCGGCGGGGAAGGCGCGGCACCCCCTACCCCCACCCTAGCCACTCCGCATCTTCAGTGACAATCCTGCCCAGATCGTCTCTAACTCCATCGAAGCGACAACCTGGTCTGCTGGGCAGCCGGTGCCGGGAGCTGTACATTCCCTCCGGGGCCCTCCTGCCTCTCCGACCCAGCGCCTAACCCTACCAACCCTGAGAGCCACACTTACCACCAGGATGTGTCTACGCGGGCCGGCAGAGTCAGCAGCAGCAGCAGCAGAAGGCAGGCAAGACTTAGGCGGGGCAAAGCCCGAGAGCCGTCGGGGGCCGCGGGTCTGGGCGCGGGCGCGGGGACAGGGGCGCGGGCGCGCCGAGGGGGGAGCTGCGCGGCTTCCTCCGCACCACTCGGCCTCAGCATAGCTCCCCGAAGACACCCGCCGCGCGGCCCGGAGGGGCGTGGACGGGGCACCGGCTGGGGGTACTCAGGCTGCTCCTACTTCACCCCCTTGGGGGGCCATAGGGCTCGCCGGCGGCTGGGGACCTAGGGGCACCTGGAGTCCAGGAACCGGGGCGCAGGGTCCCGGAGAGGGGCGCAGGGAGCGGTGTCCGGAAGCCGACGACGGCGCGCCGAGCCCGGGGTCTGGGGCGCGGTGCCCCGGCGCGGGGTGCGGTGTCAGGGGGTTGGCGGCGCGGAGTGGGGCTACGGGCAGAGTGTGCGGACAGCCCCTCTGGCCGCGGGCTCTCATTGGACGGCGCGGGGCGGGGCCGAGGCCGGGGACACGCGCGGCCCTCAGGGCGGTTCCGCCCGCGCCAGACCCGGGCGCTCCCGGGCGCCCTAGGTGTGGCGGCCGCCTCCGCCCCTCGGCCCTCCGGCGCAGTACCGCGCCGCGCCCCCACCTGCTGTGGCGAGATGCGACGGGGCGCAGCGGCGCCCTTCAGCGCCCAGTCCCTGCCGACGCCGCGCCACCGGGTCCTAGCGCCCTTCAGTCGGCAACCCAACTTCCGTGGTGATGGCCAGGAGCGCGGAGTGAGGGGGGCTGCAAGACACTTCCCCCTGTCCTCTAACCTACAGTGACACTGGAGCAGAGCCACAGAGGACGCACTCATTTCCTCGGGTCCTCTGTCCTTTCTTGCGCTTCTGTGAAATGGGTAGAATCGCTGCTACGGGAAATTGCGGGAGAATCTTAACTCCGTTTTCAACGCTGCCGGCGCCGTGGGCAGCCGGCTTCAGGTACGGGCTTCTTTCATCTAGGGCTCGTTGCCCCTGGTTCCTCCGACCCACTGCCCACCGCACCCCCCGCCCCAGCAACGTTTAGACATGGCTCCCGCCCGCCTGCCTGGCCCCGATGCTTTCCTCTGGCCTGTGGACCCGAAATCGATGGCCGAAGCGGAGGGGGCACACCTGCGGACCGGACGCGGATTCCCTGCCTTTTACCGCCCGGGCTCAGCAGAGCTTAGTCGCTCCTGGCTTCCCCGGTGCCTCGCCCCCCGCCTCGGGCGGGGCTGCGAGTATGAAAGAATCAGAAACAGGTGGGCGGCTTTCCCGAACCAGAGGCCAGGGTGGGGGTCCTGCTGAGCGAGTGGAAGCCCCGGAGCCATTTCTCTCCGTCGTTTTTCCACCCTTCCTCCTCCCCACGGCTCCCTCACCACCCCCCGCAACCTACCCCCACACACCGCCCGGGGGCGAGGTAAAGCGCGAAGGGGTAGGGAGGTACTGACTACTGAAAGTGACTCCCCTCTTGTCCCCCTACACTTCCCAGGTTGGCAGGTAGAGCCTCTGGGGGCAGAGTGCCCCTTACTGAGAAGTAAAAATTCGTTTTAAAACCCTGGTTCTTCCACCTTCGAGAGTTCATCTGGGGTCTGGCCCCAACCTCTTCTCCAGCCTCAGTTTCTCCTGCCTAGTTCCTCATTCCCAGGTGTCTTTCGTGCCTCTCTTTGTGATTTATCTATAAAGCCCTGGTGTAAACGCACTAGAAACTGCCCACTCCCTTCACCCCCTAACTCACTGTCAGTTCTTGGTTGGGGGCTGAGGAGGTGGGGAAGGGTGGGGGGGCGGTGTTAGAGACACCGAGTGTGAGCGGACAGGGCGCAGCTGGCTGCAGAGAGGCTGCAGACGTCCCCGAGGCAGAGATGGGGGTCAGGGCTCAGAGGGACCTTTCTACCCTCTCCCCGCCTCTCCTTTACATCGCTTTCTGTGGCAGGGGGCAGAATGTTGTCATCACTTCAACGAATATTTATTTATTCCCTTCATGTGCCAGACTGTGCTAGCCAAGAAAGACATCAGTGAACAAATCAAAACAAAACAATTTCTGCCCTCATGGAGTTTACTTTCTGTTGGGAGAAGACAGACAAACAGTAAACATCATAAGTAAAACAAGTTAGAAACTGCTAAGTACAGCGGGAAAAAATAGTTGTAACTAGGATGATCAGAGTAGGCCTCCTTAAGACGACATTCAAATAAAGATTTGAAGGAGGTGAGGGAACAAGCCAGGCAGATTCTTGGTGAAGAGCATCCCAAGCAGAGGGAACAGCCAGAACAGAGACCTTAAGATCGGAATGGGCTGGTGTGCTGAGGCTAACAAGGGGGCCAGCCAGCTGGAGCAGAGTGAGCTAGGGAGGAGGAGAGGAGTTGAGATAGGTGAAAGGGGCGGTCCTGGTCATGCAGGGGAGAAGATGCCTACCCTTGCGGGGAAGTGGAAAGTGAGGGCTGGACTGGTGTTGGATGGGAGTGGGAGAGGGTTGAATACAGAGATCATGCTGGTCATATTCCTCTCTGCCACCCAGCTGATCCTTCCCTTCCCCTTCTCACAGTCTGGGAGGCTCTATTTCCTTAAAAAGAAGCGGACTCAATGCTGAGCTTCCCTGAGAGGGCCAGGTGAGAGAGGAGTGGGCCCAGGCTCATTCCTGGCCGGTCCCCTTTCCTTAGACCACTCTTTCACCTCCTCCCAGCCCAGCTCCACCCTGATGCTGGGCAGCGGTCTGCAAGCTCTGACAGCCTCTCCCAGACTCCTCTGTGTCCTTAGGCCTGGGTGTGACTCTGGCCTTGTGTTTCTTTCTACATATGGGCCTGAGGTTGTGGGGTGGGGAGCTGAAGATGATCACATCAGCCCTAACCTTGGGTGGACTCGCCCACATGGGCCCCAGACTCACTTATGAGGCCCCTTCTTTGGCTTCAGCTGTCTTCATAGTCAAGTGGGACCGTGTCTTGGCACAATATAGATGCTCAACTATGAAAGCATGTTGCTGAGTTGAGGGGGCCCCCAGAAACATCAGCAGCTCCAAGAGGGAGGGAAGTGGGTGAGGGGACAAGACTTCTCCCCAATGCTTACAGGCTACCTCTGGCCTAGAGTGGACAGCCCAGGATGGGGTTTTGCTCCTTCCTTTTCTTCTTCCTGTGTCTTCTGAGCCCTCGGCTCCCCAGGAGGAACCCCAGGCTGCAGGAGCCAGCTGACTGCAAGAGCTGCACTCAACCACTTAACTAGAGAACAAATACGGAGCCAGAGAAGAGGCTTTCTGGGATCTGCCACTTTGGAGCTTCAAATCTCAAAATAAACTTCCAGTCTCAAGGTCCGAGACGCTACTGGAGAGCTCAGCTCCTCACGCAAGGGCCTGTTGTGGGGCTGCCAGGCAGAGGGTCAAGGCCAGAGGCTCAGGCTAGCCCTGACCTGTTCCTCCTTCCCATGCCTCAGCCCCACTCCACCATACTGGGAGCCAGGGGAGGAGCCACTGGTTTGGGAGCCAAGTTCTCATCTGGAGGGCGCTGCATGGAGTCAGGTCAGTACTTACTGAGCACCTGCTGTGTGCCCAGCACTTGCCAGGGCATCCTAAACGACACAGGAGGAGTGAAAGGGTCTTAATCCCAAGGCATTTTCATGCAAATACAATAAAGCCAGCTGAGGGGTGGCACACTAGGCTCTGCTGTTCAAGGCTGCATGCTGCAGATATAGTGAGCTGTGTCAGCAGAGACCTGAGAAAGAATCCCAGACCCCCTCTGCCCCCAAGGCCTCTAGATTCCCTGGGCCCTCCAGCAGGACAGCTTCTACCCAGCCAGGAGAGCCACATCATCCTTCTTCCTCAAGGTGGCACCGCAGCCTCCTGCCCTCTCAAAAGTGGGTGCCCAAAGGGGAAGGGTCCCCTCTGACCCTTGATATCTCACCTCATGCACTGCTTCCCCATGGGGCCACTTAGAGTTAAGATTCATCTTCTTTCACTCTGGTCTCAGCTGTGTGTGGCTGAATGATTTTAAATTTTTACTGGCCCTTGGATGGGAGTGGAGATGAGCTAAGGGGAGCTCGGGTGTGGGTAAACAGCTTTTACTCCACCCGGGTCTACCCCCTAGGAGGCCCCCACTTCCCTAGGCCCCTTTGGCGATGACCTTCTCTCTTTCCCGGTGGGTGGGAGTTGGTGTGGATGGTAACAAGCAGAGAGAAAGGCCGAGAAGGGGCTGGGGGGAGGTTTGGATGGGAGTCAAGGAATTCCTGAGCCTGCAGCTTGCACAAGGGGCCCTGAGACGCCTTTCCTGAGATTTCTTTGCAAACCGAGGCAAGTCTCATTTGAAATGGGGCCAGGTTCACACAGGACCCTAGTGCCCCCCTCCCTCTGTCTCACTCCCCAACCACCCCATGCAGGTGTCTAGGGAAGAGAAGAGAACTTGGTAAGAACCCAGGGGCTTTTAAGGGCGGGGTGGGGGGGGGATCTATGCTTTGTACACAGTCCGACTGGCCTCTCCTTGGTATTTATGAGCTCCTGGGCGAGGCATGGAACGTGTCTCAAAGAGGCCAGGCCAAGAGGGCTTTGGAAGGAAGGAGCATCCAGCCCCAAACCAGGGAAGGGGACTTGGTGGGGCAGGGCTATAGACAGGGACCTCCTTCCTCCCAGCCAGTGGCCAAACAGGGCGGGTAGACTGCTCCCCAGGGGGGCCTGGAGAAAGGAAAAGGGAGCTAAGGGAGATGGGGAAGGAGGAGGGTAGGCGGGACCATGGGGGCGGGGCAGGGGGGTCTGGAGCCTTTTAGCACTTTGGCTGTAATCAGACTGGAGCCAGGCGGTAAGCGGGCTGACAGCCATCCTGGGCGGGTGGCCCAGGTTCTGTGTGAGGCCAGTGGGCGTGCTGCTGGGATCCTGGGTGGTCACTGACCAGCCTAACCCCAAGGGAGGGTGGTTCCCACTCTGCCCCCAGCCTCTCCCAATCATATTATTTGCCTGTATCAAATAAGCTAAGCATTGACCTTTCTTTCTTTCCCCACCACCTGTCCTGGGCCCCAGAATGATCTGGAAACACGATTTGCTTCCAATGGACAAAAATTTGCAGGGCCCACTATCTGCCTCCCTCCCACTCTGCCTCTTGCTCTCGTCATGTCTCTTTTCTGCGTCTGTCTCTCTCTGGCTCATATTTCTGTCATTCTGTGTGTATTCCTCTCTGTGTTTGACTCTCTGTCTTCATCTCTCTGTGTGTTTGTCTGCCTGCCTGTCCTCCTCTGTCTAAATCTCTGTCTCTCTGTCAGTCTCTTTCACTCCTTGTCTCTTGCTGTGGATTTCTCTCTCTCCCTCTTTCTCTCTCTGTGTGCATCTGTATGACTCTCTCTCTCTCATTCTTCTTTCACTCTCCCCATCTCTCTCTCCATGTCTTTTCTGACTCTCTGTGGCTTTCTCAGTCTCAATCTCTCTCACTTTCTGTGTGTGTATCTGTCTGTCTGTCTGTGTTCCTCTCTATATTGTTCTCAGTGTGTAATTTTGTTTCTTTTTCTCTCTGTCTCTCTCTTGTCCTCTGCCTCACACCTTCCTCTGCAGTTCCTGAAACACAGTACAAAGTGCACTGGACTGAAAGAAATCAGAAAACTTGAGTTTTTTTTCCCAGCTCAGTCATGCACGATTTACATGACTCTGTAAGTCACTTTCCAACTCCTGGCCTCGGTTTCCTCACTGGTGAAACAAGT